TTCTTGAAGAGCTGTTGCTCGAAAAAGGATATATTTATTTCCTGTTCCTCCTCCAGGTTTTAAGTATGTCTGTTATAAACCATAAAGTTGTTGGTGGAATCTTCTATCAGTGTTCTCTAAGCTAGCACAGTAAGTTTCTACTTCTATATGTATGTGTGTTCATATATACAGCACTGGAATTTGTTTTACGTAAATTAAATCACTCCCTTTTGTGCAATGGTAGTGTTTGCTTCTGTTTGGTTTATTTAAGAGTAACAGCTATGGGTACCTCCAGAATTCTGAGAATTCATCCCTACCATTTATTTTTTCTTCATGGGCGAACTCTCTTTTTGAGTAAGTGAGGCTAATCATGTTACACTCTGCTACTCTGTTCATCTTAAGCAGCCAAAATGGAGAAGCTCTATTCAATCATAGATTTTACTCTGGCTGTGACTGTTATCCCGCCTAACAAACAGTGTATCAGAAAATTGCAGCAGCAGCGAATCAAATTCTTATCTGTTCTTTGACGGGGTTGTGAATTGCTCTATGGAATGCAAATTGCATGCTGATTAGGCCCCGGAGTTCTGCATTTTGCTTTCAGCAGGAAGATAATGCAGAGAGATGTCTTATTTTTAATCTTTAATTTTCAGAAATGGGATTAAAAATAATATGGTTATCACCATTTGCATGAAGGGAAAAATGCCTCATTTATAGTGCCCCTTTCCCTAAGTCAAGGGGCAGAAAGTAGGTTGTGAGACTGTGTTTCGGGCACTAACAAGAAGGAGTTAAGATTGGGCCATGTCCTATCTTCATTACAGTTTTTATCATGAGAATGAATTAATGCGCCATTATTCTCTTCTCACTAAAGGCTTTCTTCACTACAATTGATCTCTCTCCTTACAATAGTAATCTGTCTTTCTCTGACCTTTTTGGCAGTCTGTTTTGGCTGACATGTCATAGCACCTCTTGTTCCAGACCTGCAGGGAAAGTGGTAGGTTGATGAGCCACAGCAAACGCAGACAATTAGAAAGGTCATTGTAACCTAGCGTGCTGAATATAAAGGCTATTTATTATTTATTTCTTCTCATGATTCATTCTGCAGTTAGCGTAGTTGACAAGTCACGGAGTGAGGTAACTCAGGAAGCACAGCCTGATCTTGGATTACGCACTTGGTTCTGTCTCTGAGCTTTTTGCCTGACCCTGGGCAGATAGCTTCCCCTTCTCTAAGTCAAAGGTTCCCCCTTCCTTTCACCCTCCCTCTATTTTGTACTCAACTCATCTCATTCAGGGTTAAGTTGGCCTTTGTGCCTAAAACTGCATGTGTATGTATGTCCATACCTGCGTGCAACTTAAGAGTTCCAGTGTGCAACTAGTTTCTGTACCTTATGTAAAGGGAAAACATTCTTAAATGTGTTTTGAAGTATACTGTTGTGCACCAGCTTAATCTGAGAACTTCACTTATGTAGAATATCTTACATGTGTCGCATTACAAAAGCTGAATGAATTGTAACTTAACAGCACAGAACATCAGACAGTGCAGTAAGCAATGGGATCCCATAGTGTGGAACCACTCAAAACAGGGTTGAATTATAAAAGGGCTGTAAGGTATAAGAGGAAACCTCAGTCCTTTACTTTATTGCTCTCTGAGACCAAATTCTGGTCTACATTCTCTCTTGTGCATCCTTATTCAATCCAGTTTTTTAATGGTAGACCTTAGAAGGGACTGACTGAATTTAAGTCATTTTCTCCTATTCTTCCTGAGGATTATCTACCATGTCCTCCTGTGTTCTCTTGCTATCCAATGATGCCTTTAAATAGCAGGTTAAACTGAAGTGTAGAAGGTGCTCAAGCTAATCAAACATTGCAAGGTATCTCTGCAGGTGTTTTATATCATGGAAATGCTAAAGGTTTAATTGACTGAGTGTGTAACAAAAACAGGAAATGTCATAATGGCAATTCATTTTCTCCAAGAATACAGTGGGAACACAGTCTACAGCAACCTTAATTAGATTTTCAGTTAAACATTTTTAGCAAGGATGGGAAGTTCAGCTAATTGAATCTGTTCTAATTTCCATTCTCCTGTTTATCATTTTTTCTTCTTCATTTTGGGACATATCTCAAGGCTCTCATTGTTCTCTGCTCATTGCAGTATGTGATGACAGATGGTAGGCAACATGCTGATGTGCAGGGTAGCTACACATAAGCCGTAGGAGCTCCCACCTGTCTTCATTATAACGAAACTGAACTGGATCCACTCCAGTAACTTTTGCCTTCTTTTTCCCCTCTCCTTCCAGTCTCCATCCACTTTAATGTGAGAATAAGTTTATTCTGTATTAATAATGCCCAAAATGTTTATATGCTGTTGCATCAATCTGTAGAAAGTCTAAAAGCAATGTGGTGTTCAACCCTTAAGAGATGAAGGTCTAAATAATCATGTTTTTAGCATCCCTGCAGTTAGTATATACACTATTGTGATTTTTTTTTCCTGTCTGTGTCTGGATGATTGAGTACTGGTTAATGCAAAGGTACCCTGTTTTGGCATCTGTTGATCTACTAATTTCAAGTGTGAGTTCTCTCCCACAGGGTGATAGTGAAAACGTCTTTAAAAGAGGAAATATGTCAAAGTCACAGTGCAAAAGTTAGCACTTAAAGGTGCTTTGTGGATTAGAGATGTATTGCTGTGGCACCTTGCTATCACAGTTTACCTGCAGGCTATATATGTTTCCAGGTCCAAGCAAAGTTGGCATTAGATACATAGATGGTAGCCAACTCTATACTGGCTAGAGGATTGGTGTCTGAACTCTGGAGTAGATGTTTTGGCAGTTTCAGCAGATTTGGGTTGTATGACACTCTTACAGGAAATATTTCCTAGATGTTATGTAGTTCAAGCTGTTTTGGATGCTAAGCTCACAGGTTTCAAGAGTCCTTCTAGTTAAATTGATTCCAGAAACATTGAAGAAAGGAGCTTCTGCAAAATTTGGGCTTTGTGCCTGCCTGTTTCTCAGAATATCTCATGGAGCAAATGGTTACCTTTTAGTTAAAAATCTATTTTAAGGTATACAGACATGTAGTCTGCTTCAAGTTCTTTAGTATTCATGTTTCTTTAAAAAGATTCCAATAGTGTTATGCCAAATGGCCTTTTACAAGTTCCCATAACCTGTGAAGAAGGTAAAAATTTAGACCTGCAGATTCTCAGAAATCTTTTCCAAATACAGAAGCTTGCTATATTGCTTAACTGAGTCATGCTTGTGACTTTCAAGTCTTTAATTTATCATTAAAGGAAGGGGTTGCATTTCAAAGAACAAATAGCAGATTTGTGCCCCTTAGGGTAGCTTTTAATTTGTGGTTTTTTTGGGGAAAGGTGGAGAGAAAGGAATAATACCTGAACTAAATGAAAATAGAGTTGGTTTTTGGAATGGAAAATCAGTCCCTCTGCAATCCACGATCCACTGAAAGAGTTACAAGATGGGTTCCCCAAAGGTGAAATGACCGGTGTTTGGTAATCTCCATTTAAATGTTTTTAAAAAGAAAGTTCAGGTTGTGGACTTCCTGTTTTGGAGTGAGGTTAGTAGGTTATGGGCAGACTGTGCATGACTTTAGGTAGCTTTGACAATGACTCTGAAACTCCAGTAATCATTATTGCTCTAGTCTAGGATTTCTCCTTAGCTAGTTATGAAGGAAGAATTTCCAGTTGGGTAAGAAGAGACTCAACTAATTGTTTTCTTCTTACCTTGCACACAATTGTCTTCATGGAGAGGAAATTAATGTGATTCCAAAAGGGCTCCTTGGGGTACAATCACAGAATATGCCAAGTTGGAAGGGACCCACAAGGATCATCAAGTCCAGCTCCTGACTCTTCACGGGACCATCCCCAAGAGTCACATCATGTGCCCAAGAGTATTGTCCAAATGCTTCTTGGACTCTGTCAGGCTTAGTGCTGTGACCACTTCCCTGAGTGAGCCTGTTCCAGTGCCCAACCACCTTCTGGGTGAAGAATCTTTTCTAATATCCAACCTAAACTTCCCCTGAGACAACTTCAGTGCAGACACTTGGAGTACTGAGACTCTTAAGGGCTGGCACAAATAGTTTGCCATAAGCAAATATGTCTACACAAATGTGAAAAATAGACTATATGTACAGATTCTTGTTATGATATGTAATCTAATGAAGTGCAAATCTTCAGGGAGCTGCAGTTGGACATAGGCTGAGTATCTCTGATCAGGAATGAGTTTCCTGCCAACTAGCAGGATTTGCTTAAAGGGTTTGTGGTTACTACATGTTTAGCAGATGCTGCAGCCCTTTTCTGATAAAAAGCGAGGAGTAAAGAGAGAAGTCACAGTTCCAGGCAGTGTTTGATTTGGTCACCAAATTAAATAAATTTAGTATCTGAGCACTGAGTCAAAAACATCTAAAATAATATCCTAATTAATAATTTATTTTAATATTAAAATTTTGTTATTCTATAATCAAAATACAGCTAAGTCATAGTTATAGCACATGCTAATTCAGGTGAAAACTGAACTCATTAATGTCGATTTACTTTTGTCTGCACCATTTATAGTTGGAGGGAGCTAACACAACAGGGTGCACTGTACTGTAGAGCAGGCCATAGACTAAAACTCAGTTAATAGAAGATGGATTATGAAACCAGTTTTCTGGAAACTTGAATATTAAACAGAAGGTAAGTGACTGAAGTGTAATGTTCAACACACTGAGTTGCAAGAGCACTAGTGAGTTGTGAATCAATGCCATCTTTATGCTTTGCACATTCATGCATGCACACAGAGGGCTAACAGTTGTGTTTTGTGAAATTTCAATTGAAAGACCATTCTTAACAGTGTGTGAAGAAACATGCCAGCTTTTCACAGAGTTGTGAAATTATCTTTGATTACTTTATGCAAGTGTGATCTTACTGAAAGTGATACAGCCTTTCTGGAATGTTACTTGAATACCACTTTTAGTTTCATTTTTCTCTCTCTGTCTTTTTTTTTTTTTTTTTTTTTTAATTTTATTTTCCTCAGGGAGAAGTGTCTTCTTCCTCTTCAACTGGCTCTGGAATCCAAGAGCATGAAGCTGGCTCAACAGGCTCTAGCAGGCATGCAGGTATGGCTTTAGAGTGGGGGTGTGTTGGCAGGCGGTGGGTGTTAAGGAAAGCTAGGCTTTCCTCTTGAAAAATAGCACAGAAAAGGTATCTGTCCTCATGTTGATCTAACAATAATGTTTGTGTTTCTGTAATGGTGTTCAGAGGTTAGGATGCAGGCAAGGCCTGGTGATTCTGTAGAAGCTAAAAATGTTTGCAGATAGGTAGGAGTTCCTGGATTTTAATGCTGAAATGTAGATGTACTCTTCCTTGTGTGGCCCTTTGCTAGTCTCAGTAAGCTTGCCACTGCTAAACCTCTTAGAAACTAAACTGAGTCAAGACTTGCTGTTTTCTTTGATTGGAAGTGAGTATAAGAATGTAAGTGGATCATTCAAATTCATTTAATCCAGCATATAAGGTGTCAGATATTTGGTTAGAGTGTGCCCCATATTGGGGCACAAAATAGTTGTAGTAGTTCTAGAAGGCTCTGGTAAAGGAAAATGGTGTTTTTTGAAGGGTATCGGTAACACGTGTCTTCTGGAAAGGCCAGTGATCACCTTCTTGCAGCATAGTACTCTGGTCCCGCTCTGACATCCTGTGTCCTGCGTTTCAGCTACATGACAGCTGGGGAATGGAAGTTGCTTTTATAGTGAAAAGTGGGACTTAAACAAAGATATGTCTGTTGTACTAGTGTGAGGATGCCTGTTAGAAGAACATTGCAGCCTGATGATCAGCAAAGAATAGTAGAAGAATTACGAGTGACCCACTGTGTGTTGTAGTGTAACTTCCTTGGGAACACTCAGTGAGAATAAATTTTATATTTTTAATCTTCTAACTTACTATACGTAACACTTGAGTTCTGTAAGAACTGGAATTGCAAAGTTGCGAATTTTCAGTGTGGTTACAGTTAAATAAGAATGTTACCTCTGAAGCCTAAATAGGTTATCCAGGCAAGAATACAGTCCTTCATCTGCATTTATGATACCTGAAGTTTTATGAAGGGCAGAAAAGCAATCCACACAACTGATGATAGAGAGGTACGTTAAAAAGTAGGATAAAAGACAAAAATGAGATTAAGTACAACTTAAATTTATCCAAGTAGGTCACAGGATGGTGGAAGTTAGCAGGGACCTCTGGAAGTCATCTGGTTCAATTCTGCTGCTCATATGGGGTCATCTAGAACTGTTGCCCAAGTTTGTGTCCAGATGGCTTTTGCATGTCTCCAGGGATGGAGACTCCACAACCTCCCTGAGCAACCTGTGCTCGATCACCCTTACAGTTTCCTCATTTTTATTGTTTCCTGATGTTTGGGGGAAACCTTCTGTGTTCTAGTTTGTACCCATAGCTTCTTATCGTGTCACTGGGCACCACTGAAAATATCCTATTCTGTTCTCTTTGCAACCCCTCTTCAGATATTTATATATGCAGACTACATCCTCTTTGAACCTTCTCTTCTCCAGGATAAATAGTTAAAGCTCTCAGCCTTTCCTCATAAGAGAGATGCTCCAGTTTCTTTGTCATCTTAGCAACCCTTCCCTGGACTCTCTCCAATAGCTCCATATCTCCTGTGCTGAACTAAACATACTTCTTTATATAGAAAAGCCCATTATTTTCACTGCAGTTTGAGTTAAATCTCATCAGGCAGTACAGTGCTAAAACACTTGATGTACTGATATATGGGAAATTCTTTAAAACATTGTTTTGGGTTAATCATGGCTGACAGTTCCAAACCCAGTCACTTACTCTCTCCCTTGCAGGGGAATGGGACAGAGAAACGAAAGATGAAAAGTGAGAGAACTTGTGAGCTAAGATGGAGTTTAATAGGTTTAAAAAAATTAGTTTAATGCAAAGCTGCATGCACAAGCAAAAACCTATATGGAATTCATTCACTTCTTCCCGTGGACCAGCAGGTGTTCAGCCATCTCCAGGAAAGCAGGGCTCCATCATGCCTTGTAGTTACTTTGTAAGACCAATGCCATAACTCTGAATGTCCCTGTCTTCTCCACTTCCTCCTTCTTTCCCCAGCTGTTGTTGCTGAGCACAGTGTCATATGGTATGGAATATCCCTTTGGTCACGTTGGGGTCAGCTGTCCCAGCTGTATCCCCTGCCAAACTCTTCTGCACCCCCAGCCTACTTCCTGGGCAGCCAGTCTGAGAAACAGAAGGTCTTGATACTGTCTAAGCTCTGCTCAGCAATAGCAAAACATGGGGATGTGATCAATGCTGGTTTTGGTCACATATCCAGAACAGCACTCTGTGAGCTCCTATGAGGAAAATTAACTATTCCAACCAAAACCAGTGCAAGCATAGAAAGTAAGAAGGAATGAACCAGTGAAATGTGCTACAGAGTTGAAGGTGAGAAGGAGCATCAGTACAAAAGTCATGCAAAATGTACAGGGTGAAGTGGCTGTGCAAAGTCTGCACTGGGACACAGCAAGGTTGTGTTCCTGAGATCTAAGACAAAGTAGTTTTGCTTTGTCATGGGAGTTTCTAAGAAGATGGGAACTGGGAAAAAACTTGAGTAGGTATGTCTGTTGCAGGATGCCTGCCACTAATAAGAGGCACCCGTGAAGGTGGTTATAGACTAAATAGAAGAAGCATTTCTAGTAGAATTCCAAGGAAGTAGTACCACTGGCCATGTTGATAGTTGCTCAGATATTGGCTTTTTCCAGGCAAAGCAAATCTGATCAGCCTAAAATATTCAGTCGGAAGTTCATTCAGTCTGTACTGAACACACTCCTGTGTATGTTTGTGTTAGTCACTTGCTCACAGTACCCTTCCTTCTGAGAACTTGATTGTATCCATTATTAATCAACTTCTGAATGACGCAAAACACATCTTGTCCGTGATCAGAAGTGCCACCTTCACTGTGCTTCACCCTGTACCCTATTGGAACAACTGAGACAAGAAGTGCCTCTGTCACCTGCTGGGCAGAGGATCTGATGGCACTAGTTTGATGTCAGAATACTAGCCTGAGTGGGGCTTTTTGTTGTTTTTAGGTTTGGGGGGCTGCAAAGGTTCCACTCTCTCCCCACTTCTAAAATGTTGAGATGTTTTGCTGAGGGCATTACTTGCAGTGATTTATCAGTTACTGATGCCCACTTTCTTCTGGACACTGATGAAGTAGGATGGGGAAAAGATGATACCAGAATGGCAGCTGACTCAAAAGATGTTGACTCCCCCGCACTGGCTTCATGGCATGTCTCCCAGTTTTGCTGTATTTCTGCATTTTATGTTATTTGCTCCATTTGAAATTTTTACATAAAAATTTTTACATAAAAAACCGCAGTACCAAGCACTAATAAGTTAGTTGCAGTAGTTTACAGAAGAATTGGGCAGAGGTAGTTTTGTCTCAGCCTGTACATTGCCATTTTCTCTCTGCAGAAGCTGCTGTCTGATGAGAGGTTTGTATCCGTGGAAACAGACTCAGATGAGAAACAGTTGCTTAATCAGATGCTGAATGCCGTCAAAGTGACTCCTTCACTCAATGAAGACCTGCAAGTTGAAGTGATGAAGGTTAGTGTTTCACACACATTAGTGCTTGCAACAGAGGCTGCATGAATGAATGCTGGAGTTAGCAAATAAATTAGCTGTTGCCTTGGAAGTCTTCATTTTAGGACAGTATTTGATTCCCTTCTTCCTGGTGGCAGATGTTGGATGGTTTCATTTCTACTTCATTTGTGTTTCCCTGATTAAATAGGAGATACTTTATATTAAAGGTCAGTACACTGGTGATTCCAGTTTTAGCAAACTGAAACAGCACAATCAATCTGTTCCATGGGAGCACACAGATAAAAGACTTGTAGATTTTTAAGTTTGTTATTGAGCTTTAGTGATCATGAGGTGGGCTGTGCAGGCTTGTAATTTTTATTGTGTGTGCATAGGTGCTTTATAATTTGTTAGCTATATTTTCTCTTTGTAAAATGCTAATGATCAAGCACAATTTGTTTAAGCACCAAAATGTCACTGGACCAGTACATAAGGGAAATAATTGTTTTGTAAACTCAGTGAATACTCCCATTTTTAGAAATGCTTTAGCATTCTCCTGTATGCACGTTAGGAAGCTCAGCTGCCAGGAGGTATTGTTTTGGATTGGAGGTGATGTCAAATTTCCTTGCTCTGTCATTGGATTGGTTGTATGATTTGCCAGTACTGTAATAAAAAAATGACTTCCAATTATGGTAGGATTTGTGTGAAGCAAGATAATGGTGGACAGTTCTCTGATGTTTGGATGTAAACTTTGTACTGCAAGGTTTGTTTGCTGTAGCTGATTGCTAGTTGAAACCATTTTGGAATGAACCTGGTGGTCCTTTTTGCATGTTCATTATACCTAGAACTAGGGAGCCCCTGGTGGTCTAGTGGTAAGGGCACGGCGCTATCACCGTGGAGACCCAGGTTCGATTCCTGGTCAGGGCCACTCCCGGGCAGGTGGGGCTCGTTAGCCCTTAAAGGCAACCCACCTACGTCCTAAGGACCTCGCTGCCACCGTCCAAGCTCGCTTGGCCCCGGCAGATGAACCTTAGGATTAAAGGGTGGGCTCAGTTCCGCGCACACTGTGTCTCACCTAAAAAATCCAATGCGCAGGCTGGAAGGTGGAAAGACCTTCCCTGGATCTTCGCTCGCAAAGACTGGCCAATATATTATTATTATACCTAGAACCTGTTGATATATTTGGTTCTAGTCCTTGACCATCCTGTACTTTTAAGTACATAGACTAGCTATTTTGTTTCTTGCATGTGGTATTTTTATTCTAATGAACATATCCATTCTGAAACTGCTCTGTAATAGTTCTACTCTTTAGCACTAGAGGTGACTACCTGGGTGGAATATGCCCAGTGTCATAACATGCAGAAGGGTGAACCTAGCAGCAGAGAAAAGGAAGTAGTATTTTAGTAGACTCTTACCTGTTTTATGGAGCAGGCTTCTGCCCATGTACAGGTTTAACTGTGACACCCAGATCTACATTCCTAACCCAGTATGCCTCTTTCCTGCCTCTTTTGTCTCTAAAGTAGGAAAGGGGAAGAGTTAAGAATTAGCAATACTGAACCAACAGGTCTCTCTTGCTATGCAGTAATTTTTTGCAAGTTGCTTTTTTTACATTCTTGAGTGTTGCAGATTGAGTATCTGCATGCACACTGTTTATTTGAAAGTCCTGGCATACATCTGTCAGAAATTACCCCTACACTAGGAATGTGAGCACTGTATTTTGCTACAGTTACGAGAATATATCTTCTCAAGTTGTTTTGATATGTGAGAAGCCAAAATAAAAAAGAATCAAGAAACCTTCAAAACTTTAAAAGAGAGAAGGGATCATAATTTCACTGAGTGAAATCTTGATGTACAAATGTTTTCTGGCTAAAAGCACAGTGAAATGCATGTATGGTAAAATCAGGCTATAACTTTACATCCTGAGAACAAAGTAAAATTCCACTGACTTAAATATTTCAAGAGAGCAGAGGACTAAACATATTGTAATCAGGACAATTAAAACTCAGAGACCTTGGATTTGAGCCTTGCCTGAAAGTCAAATCAAGGGACATCTCTTTATGTTATAACCTGAAGGTTACAGATGCCATTGCAACACTTGAAAATGTTGTAGCTAATGCAGGCCTGGTGAATGGCTAAAGCCTTTGGGGAGTTTTCTAGCAGCTGGCCTCAGCAATGTGTTAATATCCCTGGATCTGCTAAAATGTGTCCTCAAGGCAGCATATGATTGTACATCAGACTGTGTAATTCCATCTGGAGGAGATTAAATGTATCTTTATCTAGTGCAGATAGATATTAGACACTCCTGAGTGTGAGCAAGTTTGTGTGAAACTGGATCAGCTGTGATACTGGCCTGGTTCTTTGCGACTTGCTGCACAGTTGTACCAATTTCACAGGTATTAAGAGTGTAACCATCAGAAATTACACAGAAGACTAGTCATGCAAAATCAATGTGAAAGTAGATGTGCAGGAGTAGTTTACTGCAAGTTGCTGGTAGATAAGCTTCTAAATCACTTAAATGTGTGTGTTTAGGGATTTTTTTTCAATCCTATCCAGAATATCTCCTGTTGTTCCCAGTAAAAGTACACCAGAAAGTCACACTTCAAATACTATCCAGAACAAATGTTTTGAATATTTATTTTAATGGTTTGTTGTCACCCACCTGTATTACAGATGGAGGTGTGAAAGGCTTTGATTGGCTGAAGAGAGCATTCTGTAAAGCTTTTTATATTCAGATTGCTGCAAGCTGGAATTGGCAGTGGAAGGGAGAACACAGGAGAGGTGTAAGGGCGGTTAGTTGCCTTGCTTGACACACTTTTGGAACCTGATAAATATTATTATAGATGGCCAGCATTAGACAGCAATGGAATAGAGTAATTGTAATGGTTGTTGTAAATAAATGGAGAGGTGTGCTAGCTGGACCTCTTCTGGCACTGAAAAAAGCAAACAGTTTAAGCCACTGTTGTAAAAGTGGAAGGGCACTGACTGATTTATGGCTAGGTACCAAATTCTCTTTATTTTTAAGTGTGAGTGTCATGGCATGCTCAGCAGATTCCCAGATTGCAGGATCACAAAACCAGCATGCCGACAGTGTTCAGACTTAAGGGCCAGGGCTGGGGACTGTGCTGGAGTGCATCCTGGGCAGCTACCCAAATGCAATTGTTAAGAAGAACTCAAAGCCTTTCCCTCTCACAATATCTCTCTCCACTGTGTTAGGTGAGGTACCTATTATCATTTTTATAAACTTCGATGTAAATTGGAATTTTACTTTTTGTAATAAACAAATATTAAACTAAATTCCAGGTTAGAGACTGCTGTCAGTATCTCTAGTTCTTCTGAATACCAGTTGTGGATTGCACCTTTTTCATAGGGGTTTCATACAGAGTGATTATGTGGGGAAATTCCCTCCTTGGATTTCCAGAGTAGAAATGATACTCTTGACATCCTTGTTTGTTTTCTTTCTTGTAGGACACCCTTATGATTACTAAGCACTGTGTCTACAGCACTTTTATGCCCAAAAGAAGGGAGTGGTCTTTTCAGTGAGGAAGAGGGAAAGGCTATGGTTTCTCTTTGACATGAATAGGCACCTATAACAAGTACAGGTGTACTAACTGGATTTGATTTGCCACATTCCAGAGCAAACTGTCTGGTGTATATAAATTTTGCATTCAGACTTACATGTTATTTAACTGCTGAGCCAGATATTTCTTTATAATACCTCAATGACCATATGGTGTGTGTATTCTATGCCACGTGTGTTTTCTCTGTACCTCTGATGTGTTTTATGGCAGAGATTTATTAGTATTTTCAGACTGGGGGATAAACTGAGGTTATTTTGGTGCTTTAATGTATATGACAAGATACTGAGAAACCAGAAAATCCAGAAGGTGTGACCAGAGTGAACAGTGTATCTGACACAAGGCCAGTTCAGTATTCTCCTCTGCTGTTGCCATGATACTTTGCTGTCAGACTGAAAAGGCTTCTACTATATGTTTTACCAGTTTGTGTTTTTACTATACTCAACTGGCTGTATCAGTGGAAGGGAAAATCACACAATCATACAGTACCTTGCTCGATGTTCTTCTTGTAATACATCAATAGCTTAACTGCAGTTTCAAACAGAATAATCTAAATACTTGTATATTTTCTTTATAATATTCATGGGGGAAGAGATATATTGATCACTAATCAAATTCAGTGTTTTATCAGTGAGATACCAAAGTGACTCAGTGCTTTATGTATACAGTTACAGATGTATAGAAAAAATCAGGGGAGCAGTAATTTAAAACTTTCATTAGATGAGCACGGTCATGCAATATGGCTGGCCCAGAAGTGGGAAGAATTTTGTTGTGTGACATGGTGCCATGTTATAATTGAGTGAATTGCAAGGTTGTATCTCATGTTGATGAGTGTGGACCTTTTGTTGACCTTAAGCACTAGACTAACAAGCAAATAGATACTCTGCAGAAGAAAGGGGACAATTTCTAAATTGAGGATTAGTATCATGCATTTGGGTTTGGCTGTGGATTCAGGGAATCCTGATTTTTTTTTTTTTTTGCCCTGGCTTGATGCTTTTAAATTCTGGTTTCAGATGTTTTTAAAATAGCTGAAGTACTTCTGCTTCATGCTATTAGACCTTTGCTTGCAGGAACACATTTGGTATTGGCAAAAGCACTATCAGATATTGTCAGATCAGCAGTGGAAAAGGAAACTAGGAAACTAGTCTATAGCTGAGTCTCTGCATTGCAGCCCCTCCCAGCCTCAACAATTCTGTGATTTTTTTTTTCTTTCTCACTTTGATTTTTTTTTTTGGTGACTTTTCATCAGTAGCCTTGACCCTAAAATGCATTTCCTTCTGGAAAGGCTCCTGGAAAAATGGTATTCAGCTTTGAACATAACTGTGGCAGCGAAGAAGATGAAATCAAATATGAAGGAAATAGATAGTACGGAAGGAATCCAAAACAACAGGGACTGTTTGTTTGGGGTTTTTTTCTTCTTTTTTTTCTTTTTTTCTCACTAATGTTATGGTC